TCAACATATTCTGTTACACCAAATACACAAAATAATGATCTTTAAAAAAGCATCATATGACCCCTTTAAAGCACGAATGAACAAACACATACACAAGATGGTGTATTTATCATTTAATTGTGGTATTTAAAGCATTTAAAACTGCAGTTGAGCTTTATTAACCCTCTCAGTTCTTTCAAAACAGATAAACGTGAAAACTCACACGCACACACACAAAGGGCAAAAGTGCACTTTGTTGAAAACCAAGTGTTTGAGAGAGACGGGGCATAGAGGACCTACAATAATGTACAGTATTTGAAAAATAATGTTTTTTTTTTAACATTAAAGCATGTCAACATATTCTGTTACACCAAATACACAAAATAATGATCTTTAAAAAAGCATCATATGACCCCTTTAAAGCACGAATGAACAAACACATACACAAGATGGTGTATTTATCATTTAATTGTGGTATTTAAAGCATTTAAAACTGCAGTTGAGCTTTATTAACCCTCTCAGTTCTTTCAAAACAGATAAACATGAAAACTCACACGCACACACACACAAAGGGCAAAAGTGCTCAACAACAGTCTAATTCTTCTGCTTTTTGCGGCCCATTAGAACAAACTAACAAAGTGAAATCTAAACTCACAGCTGATCTGGAATCAGTCTTTATAGTTTCAGCCAATCAGAGGAAGTCCACCTGTTCTCAAAGAGGAAGTTGATCTCTAGCTGTTTTTAAAAAACAAAGCTTCACTGAGAACCTTTCCGTTGGAACAGCTGAGAAAAGAACAAGAAAATAAATAACAGAGAAAAACGTGACCTGAGGAACAGATGAAAGAGACAAGACTGAACAACACTGACGCTGCTTCAGAGATGATTTCAATCAGTAATGCTTCATACACAGACACACACTTACAGAAGACAAATGCAGACTCGTTTCCCATGGATCAAAAACAGAAAGCACCCGGTCTTGAACAACAGCAACTGCACTGACATCATGACTCATGAGTTCTTTCCACTATAAATAAATACAAATTGAAATAAAAAAATAAAAGTAAAAACACAAAATAATAAAATAAACAAAATAATAAAATAAAATATAAAAAGTAAAATAATATAAAATAAAAATGAATAAAACAAAATAACATAAAAATATTAAATAAATAAATATGCAACAACATTTAAAAAGAAATTAAAATTAACAAAATAATTAAATAAAAATAGAGAAAATAAAATAAGATAAAAAAAAGTAACAATAAAAAAAAAAATAAAAAAAATAAATAAATAAATAAATAAATAAATAAAATAAAATACAATAAAAATTTAAATTAAATTAAATTAAATTAAATTAAAAGTATTATTTTCTTGGAATTGAGAACATTGTCTGAAATCACTCAAACTTCTAGATATCAATTTCAGAGAAACTTAAAACAAAAAACAAAACTGTCACTTTACATGTCTGTCAGACGGTCTCTTCCTATGTCGGCGGTTCCTGGCCTGAATACGGCTTTATGCTGTTAGTCAAAAATCTGGCTACACGAAACCAGTCTGCTCTTTGTCATAAGTTGATGTGCTTTTGTTTTTCGCTCTTCTCTTGTTTCTTCTTTTTTTGCTGCAGAAGCTCAGCTAGTGATTTCTGGATCTGGATGAGTGTGGTGATATGAAGCAGATTTATCACATCCCAGAATAATAACCTGAACTACTGAACGAGGCCTACAGATGGAGCATGTCTCAAACACACACGTTACAGGCCCAATCAGCGTAAAGCTTCTTCAACAATGGGTTTAATAGAGAATTACAGCACCAGAACATATGCTGTCTGGATTAAACATGGGGAAAAAATGGAGCAAGACTTTTTAATTTAATTAATTCTCTATTGCAAAATGCATGAACTACAGAATAAACTACAAGTTCGTACATATCTATAAGTGGACAAATACATCAGAAAATAGCACGTGTGTATCAAATCAACAAAATGAAGCAATTGAACTGAGGTAGACAAAAGAAAGAGATGGATAAACAGACAGATAAAGAGAGAGAAAGAATAGGTTTATGAAACAGGAGAGAAGCAGCATTCTGGGAAATCGTCCAGACAGACACCATGGAGCCCTGCTCAGTGTGTGTGAGTGTGAGTGTTGAATGCTGGGAAATCTGCGTTCTTCAGGTTGACATCTAAATGCCTTCATCTTATTCGCTAAATGAAAGATGCATGTTGTGTTCTGACACCGCTCTAGTTCAATGCTATCTGGACATATAAATCATACAGTCGATGACCTCGAGAGCTCAAAGTCTGTGTGTGTGTGTGTGTGTGTGTGTGTGTGTGTGTTTATGTGGAAAGATGAAACACACACACATACAAATGAGTGTAATTCATTTACACACACCAGAAACTTTAAGCCTAAACATGCAACAGCATCTCTATTTATGGAAAAAAGAGAGATGTGCTGTAATTCTGACAAATATGATCATTTAGAAGAGAAAATGTCCTGAATGATGAACTTAGGAATTCATAAAAATAAAGGGCAACACACTGCAAGTCATTAATCCAAGTCTTAAATTATATTATCAATATTATAAGAACAAGTTAAATTATACTAATGTAATATCATGTATCATCACGAATATATATGTATATACATATTAATAAATAAACATATTTTTATATGTATAAATATTTTTATTGTGTATAGATAGATAGATATGTGTGTCTGATTTTTATTTATATTATTATTAAGTCAAACTTGTCTAAAAATTTATACATATATATCATTTTAACTTTAAAAAATTCATTTTGAAATGAATACTTTATTGTAAATTCACTTGGATATTCACAATGAGCAAGGAAGACACCTAAAATCTGGACAAAAAAGTGGGATATCAAGAAAAATGGATGTACATTGTGTGTTTAGAAGTATTTAAATGTGCCACACCCTTCAGAAAATCATCCCACTAGTGACTGACGTATCCTCTCTGTATATTCAACTTGAACAGAAGACATTCTTTTAAACCAAATTGCACGTTTCACAGTTGTAACGTTATCTGAGTGCTCGTTCACTCACCGCTTTCCTCTCTGTTTTGATTTCCTGCGCGTATCGCATGAGTTCGGCGATGATCTGTGACGTCATGTTCTCTGCGATGAGCTCATGCTGCCCGGCGTAATCGTTCAGCTCGTTTAGCGTCGAATGAAACGCGCGGCACCATGTGTACCTAAGACAGGACGGGATCATCGGTGTGAGACGCATACGGTGAAGACATCAATCTACGGGACTTCACCAAAAAAATCTAATATCAATCATGAAAGAAATGAGCAAAATGAAACATACTTATTGTCGTCTTCCTCTTTCTTCTTAGGCTGGTATTTCTTGGACAGATTCCTGTGCAAAGTTAAAAACAAGAAACCAATTACTGCATATGTTTTCAATACTACCATATTTCTCATACTATTTCTACTATATTTATAAACTATACTGTTACACTATTATTATTATTTTTTAATGCATAATGGGCGATATAACCAAAATCTTATTTCACGGTATGAGAAATTTTATTTCACGATAACGATATGTACCTCGATATAGCTCTTTTTATTTTATTTTTGTTATTAAAATTAAGAAAAAGAAGCAAATTACAAGCACAACAGAACAAATAAATATATGAAATAAACTTTTAATTTATTCAGCTACAGTAGGCTAGGTTTATTTAACATGTAGTAAGAAATATTACAGAAATTGAATAAAATTTATAAATAAAACACTGCATAGTCTTCACTGTATCAATCAAACATTATTAATTAACATTAATAATGGCAGGTAAATAAGGCTGCTGTCCCTTTAAGACCAACTGCACGGATCCAATATACTGAAACACATCCGGTTTTCACCCAACTGTTTTACATTTATTTAACATATTATTCAAATTATTCTATGAATTTTATGAAACTGAATTTTTACACTTTTTAAGGACCCGCTGGGACTTTTTTTTATTCACACACGCTCCTAAATTCATTTTACAGTTTGTAATCTTTTATTTTTAGTTGCAAATGAACCTAAAACACTTGCACTGTCCAGCCCTGTGTGTGCAATCCTGTATCCCACAATGCCTTGTGCTTGACCTGACTTTGCATTTCCACTAAATGAACAAATTAACTATGTTATTTTTAAAAAAATGTCTTGACTTGATTCTTGTTCTGACTGGCACAAGTTATACAAAACTACAATAAAAACATAAAACAATCATTTTTATTTCCAAGAAAAAATGCCAAAATTAAATATGATAAATGTAATACTGCAGAATTAAACATGCAACATACTACTGTTTGAAATGATTACCATGTATGCGGTTTCACATACTATAAAAATTAATTAAACCATTAAACTCTATTCAGTGTATACTTCAGTGCAGTATGCAGAAACAGTATGCTAGTATTCCACTGCAAACGCTGTCATTTTAATAAGAGGTACAATTCTGAAGCATGTTAATAAACCAATCAAAGAGCTCAACTGAGAAACGCAACCAATCACAATACTTAGTGCAAGGAAACAATCAAAAGTTGAAATTCAAATACTCAAATTCAAATACTTCACAGAACTCTTGGACTTTTTTGTCTTTGTCTTCCTACATGTGTTTAAAATGAATGTGAGGCTCAATGTCAGTGTGTGTGTGTGTGTGTGTGTGTGTAAACTGTGACACAAAGGCCGTCTTTCTTTCTTTGTAGCCTTTCTCGTCACTGTCAGATGTTTCTCTGTGTGTTCTATTAACATCAGCTGTAAATACAGAGCATCTGCTCATCATAACTGCCTCAGGGCAGGTGTGTGTGTGTGTGTGTGTGTGTGTGTGTTCAGACTGCACCTTGCCAAAGGGTAAAAAACACATTTAAAAAAAACACACACTCATGCACACTTCAGAATAGCACACTAACATACTAATATTAATATTGCACAGTGTTCCCAGTACACATATTACACACACATGTGATGTACCACACAATTGTCACAGTACCTTGACTTGATCTTTCTTTTCCAGTGTGATAAATAACACGGAAGTAATATCAACCATATTTCTTAAAAAAATAAATGAATCTATGAACTAATCAATGAATTTGTGAATAAATCAATCTATTAATTAAAAATAAAATTAACATCTATATCTATCTATCTATCTATCTATCTATCTATCTACCTATCTATCTATCACATCTGGATATGTTTTATCCTGCACAGCATTATATGACTGTTTCTTTTACTGCAACACTGCAATTTCCTTCCCTGAAGATAAATAACATTTACTCTGTTCCTGTCTTACACACACACACACACACACACACACACACACATACAATATTGACTATAATCTTGTCTAATTATCTCATTCATGCATTATCTGTGTGTGTATACATATGCATGCGTGTTTATCAAAAATTGTAAGTGTGCATGTACTAGTGTATGTATATAGATGCAACTGAAGCTGTATCCCTTACAAGAAGTGCCATGGTATTAGCATATATATATGCCATGGAAAAAACAAGGAAATGCAATGTTTTGTTTAACACAACTATAATTGAAATGTCATTACAACACTACTTAACATGGTAAATATGGTATTTAAAGGTGCATATATTAAAGAATCATGGTACTGCCAGTACTTTTTTGTAAAGAATGAACACATGTTAATTTGTTCATATCAGCTGACCAGAGAATGCAGTTTTATCACACAGTGAATCTGAGGTTATAAATGCAGTTCATCACATCCAGTAACATGCTGGTATGAGTTTGAGTGTGTGTGTGTGTGTGTGTGTGTGTGTGTGTGTTAGACGGCTGAACCCCCAGCTGCGACCTGGAATTAAAGGGGTTTCCCACTGCTATCTGGAGGGGGTTGATATACAGTCAGCGTGTGTGTATGTGTGTGTGTGTGTGTGTGTGTATGTCTGTGAGTTTTAAATCCTATCACTGGAATGGGGGGCGGGGTCGTGGCGCGTGATTGGCCGGTGCAAATGTAGGTCACCAATGAGGAACACCATGCTGGCACCTTGTTACCATGGAAACCTGCATTTTCTTCCCAAACTTACACACACAGAAAACACAAATGTTGCCCTTTCTTCCTGTATCCTTGAGCTGTCAGCAGCAACATCACATGTGTAATTAGTGTGTGTGTGTGTGTGTGTGTGTGTGTGTGTTTACATTGTAATTAGTGTGTGTGTGTGTGTGTGTGTGTTTACACTATAAAGTACAAGCAGCTGCACCTGTCTTTATTTACACAGACATGACAGATGCAATTCAGGGGTTAAAGTGGGGATTTGGGTGGAAGAACCCTGAGATCTGATGGTGATCCTGTGGCATAGGTGAGATAAGACATGACCGCTGACCTATCAAGCCACAAACCTGTGTTGAAAAACAGCTTAAAAAGGTCTCCAAGCTTGATCAGACTTATCTTTTGAATGGTTTTAAAGAGGTTTTCACCAGCTTGGCAAAACTGAGAGTCCAGATTAAACCAGCATAAAATGGATTAATCCATCTTTTACAACAGGGTATATATATATATATATATATATATATATATATACAGTGGTGTGAAAAAGTGTTGGCCCCCTTCCTGATTTCTTATTTTTTTGCATGTTCAGGAAGGGGGCCAACTTTTTCACACCACTGTATATGTATTCACTAGAAAGCTAAATAAATACATACACGCTGAAAACTAAATGGTGTAGGATTTATTTTGGAACCATTTTCACATAATTGCAATTATGGATGCACCGATACCACTTTTTCCAGTACTCGCCCGATA